ATCGGCTGAAACCATAATAGTTTTTTAAGAAAAGAAACTATTAGTAGCAGCAGTAGCAATATTAACAGTTTGTGTTCTCTAATTCGATTACGTAATTTCTTGTATTGCCATTTTGTATTTTCTTGTTCATGACGGTAGTAACAGACAATATTACTTGAATTATTATTCCGACTATCCATTGCTGTATTTTCTTTCCTGTTATTATTTTTTCATTCTCAGACAATAAGAACGTTAGTATTGGGTATAGTAGTCTCTGTGTGTAACATTCTATTAAAAACTTTCTAAAAAGATGTGATCTTGGAATCGGATAAAATTTGAGATTTGACAATCTCAAATTCAGATGGAAGACCAACTAAGAAGTTTATTATGGCTATCTGCGCTTTTTGTGTTTGCTGTATTTTGATATCAACACTGAACGACAAAAGTATATTAACCTGCTCATATTTTTTTTAAATTTTATAAAGTATGCCGTGAGAGATTTAACCTCATTCTCAGCACGGTAGAAAACCTTACAAATATCATACATGCAAAACACATTTCCTTTGCCTGAATACAGAAATTCTAAATAATCCATCGGTTCTTTAACAAACTCAGTAATTAATTAAGTCAATTACCTCACTGTCAATTGAATTTCTAATTTGTAGAAACAACTGTACATCATCTCTTAACTAAATTTGTCTAATTCCATAAGTGAGAAAGTCTTGAGTCAAGTGATCATTCTTATCAATACTACATAGATAAACTGTAATAGTTTTGCTCTACTTTAGATAATTTGTTTTGTTTAATTTATGCTCAGTAATCTTTAACATGGCTGAGACTATCTCACTTATAGAGAATTTGTTATCAGTCATTTTAATTCAGGAATATAAAAAAAAATGTTATCCAAAATACCCAAACACAACAGCTAGAGATATACCAAAAACAATGCAAATATACCAAAAAATTTGGAAAAATAGAGTATCTCTTCACGCACGATTGTCAACAATCTTACCAGAATCTCACTACTACAACCAGAGATTCTACACCGCCATAGATGCAGCCGCCAGATAGTCATGCTTTGCCGCCAGATAGCCATGCACTGCTGCCGGAGAGGCATGCTCCACCGTCGGTAACCACCTAATAGCCTTCTTTCGATTGGAAATCTCCATAGAATTTAAATGCACACCCAAATCTGGAATGGAGCTTACAAAAATGCCCCAAATCTTGCAAGAGAGCAAAAGATGACTTGTTGTCGCGAGATCTACTTTGCCGTGGCTTTCTCCTCCTCGGCCTTCTGATTTCGTGCTTAGAACCAGCTGACCGGGCTCTTCTACGGTTTCTGTCTTTGTGCGGGATCCGACACGCACGGGGAATGCTCTCCTCCAGCAAGCCCAACGCATGCGATGTCAAATAGCTGCGCAAACGGCCTCGTTCCCTTTTTCTGCATACATCACTATGCTAGTCGCACTCTGAACTGGTCAGAGATTGGTTGTCGACTTTCTCTAGCGCCAGGAATGAGTTGTTTAACTCTTATTTGGTCTGATGTAATTTGATTCCTAAAACTCTAACCCTAGTTTTATCTCTAATACCATGTAAGAGTTAGGGAAAATGGTACTGAATATTTTTTATATTTGATTCAAATGGGAGTAGGGATATATATACATACAACTGGATTCGTATATAATAATCAATATAAATTACTCTATTAATTTTTTTCATAATTATACTAATATATTTGAAAAGATAATCATATTATTATATACAAAAAATATTTTATAATATTTTAATAATAATTATGATCTTAGAACGACTTAGTTATTGATTTTAGATTGATATACAATTTAGGACATATAATACATCAACTAGTGTAAAATGAAGGCTAAACTTTATAATTTCAACTCATACTACCGTGGTCAGTGCACTATCAGCAATGATGATTTTCTAATTAGATGTTAAAAAATTGTGCGAAGTTGGTCTTATGGTTGTGGCTCTTGAGTCTATAATTCATGATAATACAAAAGATTTATTTAAGGCATTTAAATTATAGGAGATAGAAAATATATCTGAATAGGTCAAATAATCTATACTTTGTGATACAACGTCCAACATAATTTAACATTTTTAGGCTATTAAGGTTGAATAAAGAAGTTACAGGAAGGATTTTACTCATTGGATAGGAGACTGCGCAGCTGATGCTGGCATGCGGAGGAGTGGAGCGGCTGCTTTGTCTGGCTGGTACGACTGGCTGCCTATGGTGGAGTAATCGCATATGGAGTGGCTGAGCAGCAGGGGTCAGGCACGGCCAGGCATTAGGAGGAGGGGCGACATGCGCAAGAGCAGCCGTGGCTTGCGGCTTGCGGTTGGATGGCTGGTGCTGCCAGTGATGAAGGTCGGTCTTGGCTGTTGGTGAATGATGGCTGATGGTGGCCGGTGTCTGGACTCTGGTGGCCGGCGTCTGGACTTTGGTGGCCGGCTACGAAAGCTGACCCCTCCCATTCCTCCTCCCCTTTAGGATCTTTTCTTATTTCGTCGGTGAAGGCTGAATAAGATTTGTAAAGGAGTGCAAAGTTTTCTTAACTTAACGCTCTAATATCATGTAGAAAAATTAACTGTTGTGTATTTTATTGAGTATAGTACCCTATATATTCAAGTGAATAGTAACAATACAAGAAAATAATATTAATTACAAAGATCACAAAATCCAGGGTATATTACTATTGTACTCTTTACCTAATGTAACCATAATATACACTTTTTAACATTTTGTATTTTGAAAAAGGACGGTTGTATTATCCTTATGGGCAACAACATGTGGACATTATTGTAACATTTGTCACCATGCGCCATCAGAATTGCGGAGCTATTATATATAGCTCATAGAGTATTATAATTGAGTGCTTGTATTTATTGGGTTTTGTATTTTCTAATCTTTGTGGAGGATATCTTACTTTCCAATTTTGTAATATTTTTCCTCTATTCCCAAATATATATATATATATACACATATTTATATCTTAAAAAAGGCTGGTGGTATGAATATTGAGAATTTTGTCTAGATCATGTCATTATTGGTTAGACGATTATGCTATTTTCCTCTGAATCTTTTTCTTTATGGCATGAGGTGATTATGAGTAAGTATGAGTTATTTAGTAATGGTTGAGATTAAAGAGCTAGAAGTACCTCGACTCACATAATCCTCTTGGAAACCCATCTTGTAGGTCTATGATCTTTTTATCCCTCTTACCCTTTTTAAAACTTGTTTGAGGGGGATCTTTGGAGACTCCTACTCGGTAGCCATCTCACTCGTCTTTGCCGCCTTTCATCATGCCATAAAGCTTCTATTAGTCAATTCATTAATCATTTTGATGGACACACTTTTTGGATATTTTTTCCCTTCAGGAATCTCAATAACTGTAAATTTGATGACACGGTTTGTTTACTTTAATTTCCTTGAGCTTTTTATTACATTCCCACGACCCAATAGCAGAAACTGGACCTTGGATTCTTCTAGCATGTCTTCCCTAGTCATATTATCACAATGACTCTTTTATTAGTGCCTTTTCGGAGGTTAAAATTTCCTCAAAGGTTAAAGTTTTTGTATGCTGAAAAAGCTCAACACTGATAATGTCTTGTTAGTTTGCATACCTTAACTGTGCTTATCCCAGATATTTGTTATGTGCTTTAGGGGAGCTAAGTCTCATTGCCATCTCTTTCTGCACTTTAAGGTGGTGTGGAGGCTTTGGTTTAGACATTTTGATGATTCAGGTTCACGTGGGTTGTTCTCCTTTCCCTTGAATATTTTTCCCATAAAAGCAAATGCATCTAAGCCGCTTAGTAGTTAAGTTGCTGATGTAGATTGCCCATATCTGGAAACCATCCAATCAAGGTTCAAAAATAATTTCATTCTCAAACTGGATATGTTCTTGGAAGTATTTGATGCCATAGAAATGCTTACCTTTGTGTATCAGGTTAATGTTCTTGCAGACATGGAGCTTTGGGGAATAGGGGTTGATTTAGAGGGATGCCTACAGGCACGTAATGTGTTGGGTAAGAAGCTGAGGTGCCTTGAGAAGGAAGCTTACAAACTGGCTGGAATGACATTTTCACTATATACAGCAGCAGATATTGCTAATGTACTCTACAGGCACTTGAAGTTGCCGATACCAGACGGTCATTCTAAAGGGAAACAACATCCAAGCACTGATAAACATTGCCTAGATATATTAAGGTAAAGGTAGAATTCAATTTCTTTTTCTTGTTATCTTGATGGAAAATTTTTTCTTCTTGAGGTGCATATTATATTGAGAATTTCTTATGAACACATTTCATGTTTTTTGGAGTACCAATGAGAAAAACTGTTTTTTGAAGTACTGCTCATTTAATAAATTGAACTTTTTTTCTCTGTATAATGTTGTAGTGTCTTAATTCTCCTGCTTCAAGGATTCGAATATATTTTTTAAGAAAATGAAAGAAAAACATGTTTGTGGCTATTGAATCACCATAGAGATTTTCATTTAT